GAAACTACAAGAGGGTAATAAAAACCTTTGCATGCTTAGTGGGAAGGGGCTGCCAGTTATAAGAACGCTGATTCTCCTATGTTCTTTGCTCATTTGTGCATGTCACTCAGCTGATGTGTACTGAAAAGTCCATCTGCAGATGCTTCTTTCTTTCAGAAAGATGTGTTTGACTTTGTGCTTGTTTCACAGAAAATTGCCACCACAACCGTAAATATCGCACACCCCTAACAGCTCTACATGCGAGTGATTAGAGGAGAGCAGAAATGGGGTGGGGAGGTCACCCTTGTACAGTATAACGTGTAATCACTTTGAGTTTTTCCAAATTTTAGGGGTTAGGGACAGCACACAAGCCTAAAGCGGATGAATGTCAAATCAATGTGGAGAACATCAAAATAACTAACTTATAACTGATTGTTGTAGTTTGACTTTTGAATTGAAAACCCTTAAGTACAATCTTGTAAATTAAAGCACACTTTAAGTAGCCATGTGCAGTAACATAGAAGATTGAGGATGCGATGCACTGAGATGCATCGAGAGTCGTATTGCATTTGAATCATTGAATTGTGATTCATAATCAAATGAGTGAGAAAAAGTGAGAAAAAAGGAAAGACTTAAACTCGCATGTGGAGAAACTAGGTGAGACTCAGACACGTACGTGTCACGCAGGCAGTGCAGCTGCTATAACTCAATAACATGGACAGAGAAATGGAAAGACATTTGGTACTCAAGCAGCAATTGGGGCTTACGGCCCATGGCCAAATCTACCTGCGGACCCCTGCCATAGTCTGTAACGTTTTTTGATTTGACACCCAGATATACATTTTTACTGAAAATTGTCTCCAAATATCTGTAATTAGCAACCTTGCTTACCAATAATGAGTATACCTGGAAAAAAAACTCAGCCTCCTGTTTTACTTGAGTAAGAAAACACAGACATAACTAGAGACTCTGAAAACCAGTGCAGGAACTCACCTTGTTTTGTCGGTAGATTTTTGTTGGACAGAAGGCTTTGCAGGACATCATTTGTCCAAGCACCATCATACTGGCCCAAAGCACACAGCAGGGACAGCTGAGCAAGTCCATTCTCCTGCAGCTTACTGTGAGCAAACTACAGATACCAGGAAAGCTCCATTACTTAAAGTCATAAGGTTATGGGACAGGCAGATTTTTGAGGCTTTTCAGTCAGACAGTCAGGTGTGTTTTGCACATGAAGAGTAAAGCCTAGTTTATGCTTCTGCGTCACGTCAACGGCGTACCTACGCCGTCGACACAGACCCCTACGAAGTAGCCTGACGCGCACCTCCAAAAAATCTTAACTGCGCTTGATCGCGTTGATGTGGACCGCAAGCACTGTGATTGGTCCGCTCAGACATGAGTTCCGGCAGTTGCTTTTTCCGGTCTTTCTTCCTCGTCGTATAGACCACCTCCGCAAACGTCTTCTTTGTCGCCTGCGCTTCAACATTTGCAATATAAGCATTTGTTCTTCAATATTGATGAGCTCCAACTCCAAATACAGCTGCTCCACCTCGGTCGCCATTGTTTACTGTTGTTTACTTTACGGAAGAAAAAGCAAGGATTCGGCTATAACCACACAAACACACAGCCACACCCCCCTAGCGGCATGGCGGTGAATTGCAGAGCAACGCGTTCCCTCGACGCAGAACTTGGAATGCTCAACGACGGAGTCACGGCGTCGACGTGACACAGAAGCATAAACTAGGCTTAAGTGTCAGTAATTAGTTAAATTATATGTTGTGTACCATAGATATGATAGTTTGAAGTATGATTTCCTTAGCTTTGCACAGGTTCTGGACAAGCTTAGATAATTCAACCCAAACACTTTCATACACAGAGGAATTTATGGGGAGTGGTGATTGCTTGTTTTTTTAGCACGTCTTTCCCAAAATGAGAATCTACATCTTTACCTTCACAGATGACCTGAATTTTTTCCATAAACCATCTGGGATGTCTTCCTTCAATGACAACAAAAGTTCCACAAAACTCCTGGAGAACAAACAGAACATAAACTTCATACTGGATCTGAACTTAAATAAATATCTATTGTAACTTCTATTTCAGGGTTTCCTTCAGTATACAGTAATAATCATTAGACCCAATATATTGTATGCAGCTCATCCTTTTTAAATAGTACTTACAGTGACAGCCTTTCAACCACAAGAGGAACATTTTCACACTGCAGGGAGAGGTATGGAGAGGCCTGGGCATAACTCAGTAAAGAGACGATGTACACTTCCACCAGTGGTAGTGGCTCTTCTTCTATCTTCCAACAACCTGCGTACTCCAGCAGCGTCTACAAAGAGGTAAGAACATTTGCTTAAAAAAATAACATTTAAAGAATGTTTTCTTTAGTCAGTGATAGAAAAGGCTGGCTGGCCATGATGAGGTTACCACCCATTGGACATTCTGTCTGCCTGTCAGGAACTACAAGTCTCTCACAGGTACATGTACAGCTGTTGTCACAGGGCTCCAGAGTGTGACCATTTTGGGCGCACATATAATAGGTGTATTATTCAAGTGCCAAAAGGCACAGTGAAAAGTTTTGGGTGCACCTAAACTATGGGTGATCACTGATGCATCTAAATAAAAGAGTGCACTGGCACACAGGGGCAACCAATGTAAATTGATGAGGAACCCTGTCAGCAGCCCAACAGGAGAGACACAGTGCAGTAAGAGTCAATCATTTTATTTAATTTCACCTTTTTTGGAAATCAGATTTTAAAATAGGTTTTATAAGTTTTATATCCTAACTTTCAGAACTGTAAAATTGTCTTCATTTATCAGATATTCTTTTGGAACCAAGTATCCTGTCTTTTACACTGTTGCATTAGGGTAGTTCTCTTAAGCTGCAGTAATTAGAGGTGTGCACTTGCCTCACCGTTAAATTATGATTCAGCAATCAATGATTCGATACCCATCTTGATACATAACATCCACATTTTTCTATATTGCTGCATGTGGCTGTTTTTTTTGTTTTTTTAATCGATTAATGAAATCAGTCAGACAAACACAAACTCTGTTTTTATTTAGAAAGTTCTTTGAAATTATTATAGACTGTTACTGTTATTACAATTGTGCCTTAATTAACAAAATAAGGTCTTTGATTAAAAAAAATCAGACTACAACAGTAAGTGAATGGTGGTCACTGCTCTCCACACTGATTTGACACATTTAGTTTAGACTTGTGTGCTGCACCCTGATTATAGTCTTTAATTTATGAAGATGGCCCTGCTTGACCACACCTGGCCCCCTGTAGCAGTGCCACTACAGTGAGGCAAATTACTCTGCTGGTCAACAAGTGACTCTTGTAAGGGAAATGTAACAATAATGTAACAATCTTTACAATGTAACCTTGATCATGCTGAATCCTGTGCAACTGATTGAATCTTGGCCTAAGTGCCTAACTAATGCATTGTTGCCTTGATGTCATCAGAAGATCCTGACCTTTTGCTTAGAAACAACCTCGAGCATAGGGGAGGTATGAGCCGAAGGTATAAAGAGAAGGAAGAGCTTCCCATTGGTGTGCATACGAACCTTTGTCTTCTGCACCTTGCTCTGAGCAATAAACTGTGACAATACTGTAAGAGATTTGTGTTTTGTTCCTCGTTTTCAAAGTGGGATTGAAGAATTGCCACAACACTTTGCTCCTCTGACGTTTTCTAACACTCACACTTAGAACTGATCTTTATAAAAACCTGCTGAATTCATATTTATGTTCCTGGAACACCATGTCAGATTAGGTCGTAATCTGCGGAAAGAACTTCTGTCTGCTGGAGTGTGTGAGTGTGTCTGCTCGTCTCTGTCCCTCCTTAGACATGAACTGATAATCACATGTTTTTAATTGATGTTGTGGGATCAATACTCCAGATCATTCCGTTCACTTTAACCCTGATGTTGTGCTGTGCGTGTCACGTTACGTGTCTCATAAACACTAGAGTGAATCAAACAAACAAAGTAAACATCTGTCCTGTATGTGTCCTAAAAACTTGTAATCAGTGATCGTGTTTATTGTTAAAGTATATATAAAGTGAGCACAGGTCAGCAGTGGAGTGCATTTTCAGTATATACACATATGTTTTATTTATTTTTATTGAACTCTGGTTAACTCTGGCAAGTAATTTTTACAGGTAAAATGACACAATAAACACCACTAAGGTGCAGCATATAGAAAATGAATTCTACTTAAACTGCACTGTTCATGTATTGTATGATCATTATTAAATGTATGCATTTTCATTTTTTTTATTCCCAAAAAGGTACTTATCCACATAGTTTGCAGAGAAGGTGACCCCCCCCTCCCCACTAAAAATGTCTTCGCTGTGGAGAATACTCTCAAGTAGGGGACAGAGGTTTATACACGTGTTCGAACCCTGCGTTCTTAACAACAGAGAACGGTTGCATGTCCGCTGCTATAAATACACCTATGTCGCTCGTTATTGCTTTGACAATATCTGAATTATTTGCTAGTGGCAGCTTTAATGCTGCCGGGAGCTGGGTTTGCTCTAACTTGAATTTCCTTGTCCCACTAAAGTTGGTGTTATTTCCAATAGTTGGACATCACACTAGTGATGCTGTTTCAAACGAGTCGGCATATTTGATGTGCTACCAGCTACATATCAGATAGCAATTGTGCAATGTCAGCTTTTGAACGATCCACTTGTCTTTATCCAACATCATTATAGTGACTGTGAAACTGAAGTGTTCCCACACATCAGACTTATGATGAGAGAGGGTCCTCACACTGCTGTTTGTATACGTGCCCTGTTACACCCCTATTATCACATTTAAAAACATGTTTGTTTGGGGGTTTTTTTATCTCTCATAGATTTTCACATCGATGAGAGAGAGAAGAGAGAAAGAGAGACTGATGAATGCGCGCGCAGCTCTGAGGAAAGATTTTACTCAAGAGTATCGATCATTATGTGGTGATCAGTGTTGATATTGATGCGTCACATCAAACATACAACATTAAAACTGTAGTGGATCAGAGACTAGCTGAGTCTGTGTCAGAGAGAGAGAGAAAAGTTAGCAGCAGAGTGGTACGGTAGTGTGTGTGCGCCGTTACCTTTCCCCCCAGTTCTAGGACTATCATACTGAAGCTATGCAATTCAGTTACAGTAATCAAGCGCTTATAGACATCATTTGGTCCTTTACAAATGTGATAGTTGTTTCAACTGTGCTAAATTTTATTGGGAAGCGGAGGCAGCACAAAGTTTGATTCTCTATGCAGGAAAAACCCTGAAGACAGTGTAGTGCTGGGCGGTAGTAATGTTGAGGAAGATGGCTTCAGGGAGATGATTAAAATACTGGATCCCAGATATGTTCTACCAAGTCGAAAATACTTCAGCCAAACAGCAATTCCCAACTTGTACCAAAAGCACAGAGCCAAGCTAGAAGCAGACATGGCTACTGTTCCCCACTTCTCAGCAACAACTGTTTTTTGGTCTAGTCGCAGCATGGAACCATACCTAAAGCCTAGTTTATGCTTCTGCGTCACGTCGACGCCGTAGCTACGGCGTAGGTACGGCGTCGACGCAGACCCCTACGCCGTAGCCTGACGTGCGCCTCCCAAAAATCCTAACTACGCGGACGTCGACGCGGACCGTAAGCGCTGTGATTGGTCCGCTCAGAACGTAAGTTCCGGCGGTTGCTTTTCCGGTCTTTCTTCCTCGTCGTAAAAACCAACTCCGCAAACGTTTTCTCTGTAGCTTGCGCTTCAACATTTGCAATATAAGCATTTGTTCTTCAATATTGATGAGCTCCAACAGCAAAAACAGCTGCTCCACCTCGGTCGCCATTGTTTAACTGTTGTTTACTTTACGGAAGAAAAAGCGAGGATTCGGCTATAACCACACAAACACACCGCTACACCCCCTAGCGGCATGGCGGTGAATTGCAGAGCAACGCGTTCCCTCGACGCAGAACTTCGAATGCTCAACGACCTACGGCGTAGGTACGGCGTAGACGTGACGCAGAAGCATAAACTAGGCTTAAGCCTGACTGTTCATTTTATAAGTGACGACTGGGTGTTGCGTAGTCATTGTCTGCAAACAAGCTATATCCCAAATGACCACACCGGCGAGTTACTCGCAGCAGGCTTGCAAGGGGCACTTGATTCCTGGGGGCTTTCTGAGCAGACACTTGTGGCCATAACAACTGACAGTGGAGCCAACATCATTAAGGCCGTCGAGCTGAATAACTGGACAAGACTCCAATGGCTCCAAAGGCTTCATCTAGCCATTGGTAAGCACTAGTTATTATATTAATATGACTTGTCATGATAAGAAAGGTTTGTCTTCAATTAACCATGTGTGGGTTTATTGGAATAATTTGTGTATGGTGGGGGTTATTTTTGGGTTATACATTAATGAATCTGTAATTAATTTAACATTAGTATTAGCAAACTAACATTCTTTCTTTGTTGTTTTTACAGAGAGAGGTGTGAAAGATGACCACATACAACGCGCAGTTGGAATCTGCAAAACAATTGTGGCAGCCTTTTCATACTCTTGGAAAAAAAAGGGGGACATGGCCATGGCTCAGGATGAACTGGGTCTTCCAAAGCACACACTCACAGCTCAGACGCCCACCAGGTGGGGATCACGTCAGATGATGATACAAAGAGTACTTGAGCAGGAGTGAGCCATCAGTCAGGTTCTAAAAGCTGACAGAAAATCAAGGCACTTGGTCATCAGTTGGCAAGATATGGAAGTCCTGGAGGCTGGTAACAAGTTGTGTGGATGTTTTTTCTTTTATTATGTGCTCTCTTTTTTTCTATTCCTTTTTTAATCTGCAATGGATGTAATTTAATTTCATTGTTATGGAAATAAATAACAATAATAAATCTCTCTCTCCCTCTGTCAGGTGTTGAGCCCACTCCAGGACTTCACAGATGCCTTGTCTAGAGAGCAGTATGTCAGCGTGTCCTGTCAAGCCGGTACTTCTTCTGTTCAACACCTGCATTCTTGCTGAGGAACACAACAATACTGAACTGACCAAGGATGTGAAGAGAAAGATTCTAGCCTACTTGAACGAGAAATACTCAGATACGGACACAGTTGACCTGCTCGATATCGCATCTTTCCTTGATCCACGATTCAGAACCACCTACACGATGAAAGAAAAGGTGGAATACATCATTTCAAGAGCAGTCGAAGAAATCAAGTCACTAAAGGATCAACAGCAAGACCCTCTCTCAGGGCCTTCTGGCGCAGCAGGGCCTTCTGGCACAGCAGGGCCTTCTGGTGCAGCAGCAGCAGGGCCTGTTGCTCCACCTGAGGAAAAAAGACCCTGTCCAGCTTTTTCAAAAAAGCAGAGCACCAGCAGCATGGGCTGCATCGGAGAAACACTCTCAGAGGAGGAAAGCATCAAGATGGAGCTGAAAGCCTACTTGCAGACCACAGAGGTTGACCGTGATGCAGACCCTTTGGAGAGGTGGAGATGCCATCAGGCAAATTTCGACAGTATTTATGCATACCTGCCACAAGTGCTCCATCTGATCAGCACTGGTGGCAATATTGTCACATGCCATAGAGCTGCACTCAAACCAGATGCTGTGGACTGTCTGGTTTTCCTTGCTCAAAATTTGTAATAGCTGAGATGCCAAATTTATGGAGCTTTTTCATAAAGTTGAAATGTGTGAATATTGTTTCTATGCTACAGGATAATCCTGCAAGCCAAGTTGCACAGTTTTGATACTTACTGTGTACTGTGCCTGGGCTTGAGCAATAGTTACTAATGCAAGTTGTTGCATACTTTAAACGTTTTACTTTACTATTTATGTGTGTACGAGTATACCTCATCTTGAAGCAAAGTCCATATGGATGCAAGTTGCTTAGTGAAAGTTTAGTTGTTTAAGAAGTCTTCAAGTTAAATTTTGTTTATATTTTTAATACTACCTGGTTGGGCTTGAAGCAATATATTAATGCAAGTTGCACACCTTTTCTATTTATTTGGTTCAATCTTATTTATGGATGTTGCCTTAATGAATGTTCAGTGGATAAAGAAGAACATGTTTTTTCGAATTGCAAAACAATAAAGGGTTTTGTATTTTGACTGCAACAGTCATGCATTCTGATTCCTTCACTTCATTAATACTAGTGTGGACATTAATGTTTTTCTACAATATTCACTCCTCATGACAGTAAAATAWGTKATTCCAAGCCAATTTACTGCAGTAATTATWCTSTAAATTATTAGAATATGTGGTTTACACCCAGTCGCGCTTGAAAAAAAAAAAAGAAAAGAAAAAAGAATACAGTGAAACCGATATAATTTTGAAAAATAGCGTGATATAAATTTTGGGTCATACCGCCCAGCACTAACACAGTGTTTTAACTTCATTGTTGCAGAAGAAGCGATGTCTCACTCAACCATGAAGACATAAATAAGAATTCAGCAGGTTATCAAAAAGATCAGTTCAACCTGTAAGTCATTGGAAAACAGCAGAGGAGCATAGTAGTTTGTTTACCGGCAGGGTGCAGTGGCACTTCCAAAAGGGGACCCGCCATACAAGCCTGGGTGCATTGATGATAATCAAAATAATACAATAATCAAAATAATTACATCACTATTGTTTTTATTATTTATCAATAATTTGTTTATTTGTTTTGTGATGGGGTGCCGGCCTATCCCTGATGCTAAAAAAATCCAAGATGATTGCGTTAAAAAATGTCAGAGTTAACACTGTACGGTGTTGATTCATAACGTCACAATTTCATAACCGTAAGAATTGTAAAAACTACAATATCTAACTATGGTGTGCTGCCTATTGCAAGTCACATAATTTGTCTGTGCGCCGCTTGGTGAATTCTCTCATGATTCACATTTTGTGTGCGCAGGCCACTGAAATGTTAGTTAAGAAGAGGGAACTTAACGGCCTTATTTCCACAAAAACTCAAGTTCACAGCAAGAGGAGAAGCCCTTGTTTACTTTCAGTTTCTGACCAGCAGCTGACACAAACCTATCTCTCTCTCATTTTAAATTTAGCCAGGAGTTTAATTCACCTATACTGGAGATAATAGTATAATAAGGACATAAAGAATGTGGCTTGAACCAGGACAGTTTACCTGTTTACTTTTTCACAACTAGTCAACACCTCGCTCCCAAAACAGAACAACTTCCGTCGAAGACCCATCACAATAAAATTCCCATACAGATACACTGCTTATGATGACAGGAAACACAAATTCACTGACCAACCTTCTACAATAAATAGAATAGCTTACATAAATAACTTTTAAATAGCCAAACATTACATTTTAAAACCTAACTGGCTATTGTTGATGATAATAATTATAAATATTTTATTCCTTTTGCTATATATTCGCCCTATATAGTTTGTTGTGTGTCTTTTTCCTTATATAGTATCAATAATGAAAATCGTGAAACCATGATACTTCCTCTGACAATAATCATGGCACCAAAATTTCATAAAGTGAAATCCCTATTTGGCTGATACCCCTAGGTCAAGACTGACTATTCAGGGTTTCTCTGTCAGGACCCGAGGCTGCCTGATGAGATTAGGCTCGCCAACTCACTACCTGTCTTTTAATCACACTTCAAAACTTCAGCGTACCCTTTGGTTCGGCTTTTAAAAAGGTTCAATGTGTAAGATTTTGATGAACAGTATATCTAATGGCTGAAATTGAATATAAAAGTATCCTTGTGATGTTTTCACTAATGTGTAATCATCTAAATTATACAAATTGTTTTCTTTAAAATATAATGGGTCCTTTCTATATAAAAATTATTTATATTTAAATCAGGAGCGGGTCCTCTCTACAGAAGCCGCCATGTTATTTTACATCAGTCCAAACTAAACACCTTTTGAGTTTTATGACACCTGAAGGTTTTCAAAGGTTCTCTTTCTGTTTGGTAGTGTGAGGTGAGCGGTATTCAGCTGCAACTTCACCACCAGATTTCACTCAATTCTAGCCATTGAACATTTAACCTTATTGTGATTAAAAGGCAGAAACACCTGATGACGCAAAGGTACAACTGATTATTATTATTATTCTCATTATAACAACCAGTCTGATGGAGCTTGAATATGATTGTTAGACGACTGTTTCTGGTCCCTGTTGTGAATCACTGACTCATTTACTCCTCCCTACTCACTGTATTGAAAGTTTCTTGAAAGGGTCTATATAGAGGTCAAATCAGCAAAGTGAAAAAAACATTTTGGACACAACTCGGCATTTTCTCTGTGCCGGTAAATACCTTATTGTTACAACTGAAACGTGCCATATCAACTTCCATCTTTAAAATGTATACGGAGCATTTGATCCAATAAATAAAATATTTGGTGTATATTACAACTTTCGATCTCCTTCAAAATAGCCTTTTCACTTCGCTGCTGCCTTCTATTGCGTCACATCTGAGGATTTGTATTCATCTTTTTATTCAGACGTGACACATTTTGGTTTTCAAACAGTGGTGTCCTCTCCTGTCACTCGTTTTTTCTCAGTCTGGGGAAGCGCATGATGCTCAGTTAGAGACCATAGGTTGTACACTAACTGTCATAATGAGTCCATGTAGGGTATAAAAAAATCGCAGTTAACATTCGGGCAGCACTACAAAATGGCGAACTAACTAAACAGTGGACTATATGGTGAGACCTGAGTGATTTCAGACACACCAACTTCACTATAATTCACCCAAAGATCAACGCAAAATATAAATCCTATGCTTTTGAATAAACCTATATTTGTAGAATTATCTCCAACTAAAAACGTACAAAGAAAGAACGGTTGGTTTTGAAAATCCGGGGCTACATTACAACCGGAGACGATCTGTGAAATAAAGTCTCACGGCAAAGCTCACGTAGCCACAACATACAAGGCTAGGAGCTAACATTGTGCTACCTACAAGATGATAAAGCTTGGTGGTGCTGGCTAACTTGTAACTGGAAATGTGCAATACCCGATGGAAACTCTCGTCTGTCTGATACTGCAAGTCTATCAGAACCATTCAATGAGCGATAACTGTAACAGCAACTGAACTTTAACGCCAGTGAAATTTGGCTTTAACTGGACCCTACAAACACATGAGCTAGCGTGTTCCAGAAGCTAGCTATATAAGCTAGCCATGTCAACGGTCAGATCACGCTGAATTTCTCAGTTGAACTTCACCGATTCATTTTCGTCATAATGACGGGGCCTTTTTTCTATTTCCAGGTTAGGGCCACAAGGCCAAATCCGCTGAAGCATAGATTGGTACTAATTCAAACAGCATGAAAGGTAATTACGATTGCAAGATGGCTAGCTTGTTGGTTTAAGCCTCGAAGGGGGAAACTCACCCGACAAAACTCTTGGCAATACTCAGAAGATGACTGGACCGGAGACTCGCCTCGTTCTGTAACTACGACTTCTTGCAGCTCTTGCAACCGCTGTCTGAGTTCCCATAACGTTTCACTGATACCGTTCTTAAGACTAAGGTCCTGTTCGGCCTCCTCGTCCGCCATCTTAACACTCAGCTCTAGCGCGTACCACTACTGCGTCGCTACGTAACAGCTTAAAATACGTACATGGTGATGCAAACGTCTACCTCTGGGGAAATATTTTCCTGCAGAGCCGGAAACCCCCTACCGTTTCAGACGTACGCATGCGCGAATCACCCGGCCACCGTTTCAGACGTATGTACAGACATTGCTAAGTAACTGACACTGCCCGCGGCACCGTACGGTCTGGCTGGAGCTATAGATCTGCGCAGGCGGGCCTGTTGAATATATATTTATATA